CCACGCTAACCACTAGGCTACGCAGTACATTGAATTTCTCTTATTAATTCTATATTTTATTCATATTTCGTATAACTCTTCAAAAACCATCCTATTTTACATTATTATATATATATATAGCTAATTCTCAGGTGGTAAAAAGTACGGGTACTTCTAGAAGGGCTAGAGACATGGGACAAAAGGCATTAGGTAGAATTTTGCCTCTAGGGTACCAGAAAAATCTGACATTGGAACTTTTTAGCCCCGAAATAGCTCTATTTTAAGATTTTCTGAAAAAATTTTTGTATAACAAAAGCACGTTTTTCTTTTATACTTTTTATAATTAGAAACACAAACCAAGAAATAAATGATACGTTTTACGTTATTTTTATTATTAGAAACACAAACCGAGAAATAAATAATATTTGAAAATATAATGATCTCACATATATTTTAATTTCGAAAAATCGAAATAAACTTAAATAAATGTCAGATTTTATAAAAGACATCAGATGTTTTGTGACATCTGAATATTAATATTTCATTTGTTATTGTTTTGAACATTACGTTTCGTCAGCAAGCTTTAAAAAAATATATGTACATACAGAATATATGTATGTACGTATGTAGTTAGAATTTTATTTTTATTGTTCCAAACGGAAAACTGTAAAATGCTAAATTTTAATACATTTATATATACATACATATATTTGAATAAAATTATTATTTTGTTTTTGCCTAAACCTTTTCTTTATTTAAAAAAATTACATTCATATGTACATTTATATATTTGAATACAATTATTATTTTATTTTAACCTAAACCTTTTCTTTATTTGAGAAATTTATTTCTATATGTTCACCCGCAGTTTTAAAAAAACTAGGTATACATTCATAATAACGTGTTTTTGTGTTAATAATTTTATTTCTAATTTTTCCAACAGCAAAATTTCAAAATTTTCGATTCTAATACATTCATATGTACATACGTTCATATGTTGGAACGAAAAATTTTAAAATCTTCAATTCTAATCCATTCATATATACATACACACATGTATTCATATATACAAACATACATATATTTTTACATACATAAATTATTATTTTGTTTTTGTTTCTTTTTTAATTTTCGATTCTAATAGATTCATATGTACATACGTTCATATGTTGGAACGAAAAATTTCAAAATCTTCAATTCTAATCCATTCATATATACATACACACATATATTCATACATACATACATACATATATATGAATAAAATTATTATTTTGTTTTTGACTAAACCTTTTCTTTATTTGAAAAATTAATTTTTGTATGTTTACCCCCATGATTTAATAATTATGCGTTTAAAATTTATTTCTATATATTCTACAGTTTTGAATATTATTAAATTCATATAGAAAGCTTAAAAAAAATTACTCAGGAAGCTTTAAAAAAAATATACATACATACATATTTATGTACTTAAAATTTTTGCAAATTTTTCCAAACTATTATAAGAATATTTTTTTGGAAATTTTCTTTAAACTTTTATATAACATTTATCTGTTATATATTAAAAAAAAATAAAATACAAAATTTAAACAAAATAAAAAAAAAATTTTTAAAATAATCCAAAAAAAGAAAAATACAACATCCAGGCAAGCATTGATCCAATAAACTTCTGGCTATGAGACCACCACGCTAACCACTAGGCTACGCAGTACATTGAATTTCTCTTATTAATTCTATATTTTATTCATATTTCGTATAACTCTTCAAAAACCATCCTATTTTACATTATTATATATATATATAGCTACTTCTCAGGTGGTAAAAAGTACGGGTACTTCTAGAAGGGCTAGAGACATGGGACAAAAGGCATTAGGTAGAATTTTGCCTCTAGGGTACCAGAAAAATCTGACATTGGAACTTTTTAGCCCCGAAATAGCTCTATTTTAAGATTTTCTGAAAAAATTTTTGTATAACAAAAGCACGTTTTTCTTTTATACTTTTTATAATTAGAAACACAAACCAAGAAATAAATGATACGTTTTACGTTATTTTTATTATTAGAAACACAAACCGAGAAATAAATAATATTTGAAAATGCAATGATCTCACATATATTTTAATTTCGAAAAATCGAAATAAACTTAAATAAATGTCAGATTTTATAAAAGACATCAGATGTTTTGTGGCAACTGAATATTAATGCTTCATTTGTTATTGTTTTGAATATTATGTTTCGTCAGCAAGCTTTAAAAAAATATACATACACAATTTATGTACGTATGTATCTACCTAAAATTTTATTTTTATTGTTCGAGCGAAAACCTGTAAAAAATGCTAAATTCCAATCCATTCATATATCCATACACACATATATTCATATATACATTCATACACATATTTTTACATACATAAATTATTATTTTGTTTTTGACTAAACATTTTCTTTATGTTTAAAATTCAATCCTATATGTTTACCCGCAGTTTAAAAAAAACAGGTATCCATTCATAATTATGTATATTTGCATTTATAATTTTATTTATAATTTTTCCAACAACAAAATTTCAAAATTTTCGATTCTAATACATTCATATGTACATACGTTCATATGTTGGAACGAAAAATTTTAAAATCTTCAATTCTAATCCATTCATATATCCATACACACATATATTCATATATACATTCATACACATATTTTTACATACATAAATTATTATTTTGTTTTTGACTAAACATTTTCTTTATGTTTAAAATTCAATCCTATGTGTTTACCCGCAGTTTAAAAAAAACAGGTATCCATTCATAATTATGTATATTTGCATTTATAATTTTATTTATAATTTTTCCAACAACAAAATTTCAAAATTTTCGATTCTAATACATTCATATGTACATACGTTCTTATGTTGGAACGAAAAATTTTAAAATCCTCAATTCTAATCCATTCATATATCCATACACACATATATTCATATATACATTCATACACATATTTTTACATACATAAATTATTATTTTGTTTTTGACTAAACATTTTCTTTATGTTTAAAATTCAATCCTATATGTTTACCCGCAGTTTAAAAAAAACAGGTATCCATTCATAATTATGTATATTTGCATTTATAATTTTATTTATAATTTTTCCAACAACAAAATTTCAAAATTTTCGATTCTAATACATTCATATGTACATACGTTCATATGTTGGAACGAAAAATTTTAAAATCTCCAATTCTAATCCATTCATATATACATACACACATATATTCATATATACATTCATACACATATTTTTACATACATAAATTATTATTTTGTTTTTGACTAAACCTTTTCTTTATTTGAGAAATTAATTTTTGTAAGTTTACCCCCATGATATAATAATTATGCGTTTAAAATTTATTTCTATTTATTCTACAGTTTTGAATATTATTAAATTCATATAGAAAGCTTAAAAAAAATTACTCAGTAAGCTTTAAAAAAAATATACATACTACATACATATTTATGTACTTAAAATTTTTGCGAATTTTTCCAAACTATTATAACAATATTTTTTTGGAAATTTTCTTTAAACTTTTATATAACATTTATCAGTTATATATTAAAAAAAAATAAAACACAAAATTTAAACAAAATAAAAAAAAAATTTTTAAAATAATCCAAAAAAAGAAAAATACAACATCCAGGCAAGCATTGATCCAATAACCTTCTGGCTATGAGACTACCACGCTAACCACTAGGCTACGCAGTACCTTGAATTTCCCTTAATAATTCTATATTTTATTCATATATCGTATAACTCATCAAAAACCATCATATTTTACATTATATATATATATCACTGAACGAAAAGATTAGTTTAAATTAGCTAAAATTCGAGTGTGGCGCAGCTTATTTATTGGGTGTTTTTCAGCCAACTAATATATTAGGTAATATAACTAAGAAAAATTGGGTAAAACTTGGTATAAAAAAACAATGGAAAATCAGCCAAGCCTTAGTGAAATTAAGCTTATCGGTTTTGGCTAAAACTTATTGCCTTAGGCAGAGCAGCTTAGCCACTTAGGTGTTTTACCTTATTTCTGACTGTTATATTTGTATAACAGCGTAAATTGTTATACAAGTTTTACCTTATTTTTAAGCTGTATTACCTTAACAGTTAAGGTGTTCTACCTAATTTTTAAGGTACTTAAATAGCTTAACAAATAAGGTGTCTTACCTTATTTCTTAGGTGTTCAAATAGCTAAGCAAATAAGGTGTCTTACCTTATTTCTTGGGTGTTCAAATAGCTTAGAAAATAAGGTGTCTTACCTTATTTCTTGGGTGTTCAAATAGCTTAGCAAATATGGTGTTTTACCTTACTTCTTGGCTGTTCAAATAGCTTAGTAAATAAGGTATTTTAACTTATTTATAAGCTGTTTAAATAGCTTAATAAATAAGATGTTTTAACTTATTTATAAGCTGTTTAAATAGCTCAATAAATACGGTGTTTTAACTTATTTATAAGCTGTTTTAATAGCTTAATAAATAACGTGACTTACCTTACTTTTAAGCTATTTTATGATAACTAATAATTTAAGATATTAAACTTAATTTCAAGTGAAAATCTGGCAACAATGTACAATAAAAAATTTGTTTTTCAATTATATGTGAATTAATTAAAGCGATTTTTATTTAAAAAAAAAATATTGTAAATTATTTCGTGAAATAATATTCTGTTATTGTCATAATTATTGAAATATTCTTTGAAATATTATTTTGTAATAAAAAAATACATTCCAATTTGAAATTTTGTAACATTAAAAGTAATCTAAATGTAAATTGAAAGTAATATTAATTAATCCAAAATGTTATACTTTATAAAAAAACTAAAATACAGAAACAAAAAGAAATTTTCCTTTTCTCTTTTGGCAAAATTATTTTAAAAGTTTCAAATTTGTTTTTCTTGATATGTTTGTTACTTATCCATATATAGCAAAAACTTTGATGTTCACAAAAAAGATTTTCAAATTGTATTTCAACTTTCCAAAATGAATTTAATTATTGCTTATATCTATCCTTTAAAAAAAAATTGTTATAAAATTTAAACTTATTTTTAATTCTGTTAATTCTGTATAATTAATGACTGACTCTAAATGTAAACAATATTGTGTTTTAAATATTTTAGCCTTATGCAAAAAGTTATATAAACTAAATAAGCTAATGAGCTAATTCCGTATGTTCAATTTCTTAAATAATTTAAAACGAAAAAAACTTCCTTCCAAAATACGATAGAATAATTTGAAGCAACATTGAATAGTTTCTAAGTATTAAATTGAAATTTTGCATCTGCCAGAACAATTTAGAATTTTTGGTAGCGAAATTCTTCTCCGGTAATCAAAATGAATGGTTGCAAAGTCGATTTATTTTGATAATGTTGATCAGTTAATTCGTTTAAGACACTATTCACTTGACTTTCCAAATTGTTGGTAATGTAAATGATCATTGGGAATCATGAATAGTATATTTTGTCCGTTTTCCATTGATTACCTTGGTAGACGGTAATAAAATTCAAATAGAAACTTCATATTACAAAGATGTATCATGTCTAAAATAATAATTAACTGTGTTAATGACAACGAGAAACTATATCATAGCATTAAGATTATAGAAATAAAACTACAATTTATTGTTTATTAATTTGTAATAAAATGTACGAACCTGAATCCATCATACTATTTTTTCTTTAAATATTTTTAATAAGTTTTATTTGCAGCATCTTTAATCTTTATTGTAAAATTTCCACTGCAACTTTACAAAAACTGTTCCATAAATCAAAATAAAAGTTATTATGCCGGAATAGTGTGAGTAATTCTATCTTATCAACCTTATATATAGAGATTATCAATCTGGAAAAATACAATTTTTATTAATTAAATATTTATGTGATTTTATTAACACATTATAAAATTTTTTACTAAGACAAAAAAAGTTTGATAAAAAACTTAAAACTTATAAAATCAAAAATTTTTTGTTCGGGCAAACATCTTTTTCTTCAATGCTTTTTGCTCACAAACTACTTGCACATTCAAGTATTATTGTTACATAATTACTCTTGTTTAAAAAACGTCAGGTTTTTTAAAATGTTCGCGGAAGAACACTAAATAATTTATATTTCTTAAATTTTCTAATTTCAATGACAAGTCTTACCAGCTCAGGTGCTTTTAAGTATCTAAATAGTCATTCCACCAAAATTTGTTCCAGATTCCTGTTGCTGAAACATATTTTATTTTTGGACTTTGTAGTTTTTTTCCATTTTGGTATTAATTCATCCCAATCCCGTATGTATTTAAGCTCAGTGCAAATATTTTTTGCTTCTTGAGGTGAAACGTTTTCCATATCTATATAATAAGTGTGAAACATATAAAAAGCATTCAGTTAAGTAAAGTACAAAATTATAACTATTTTAAATATAGCAAAAATATTTACCATTTTGTTAAGTATAGTCTATTTGATACTCTAATTTAGGAAAAATAGCATTATCTGATACATCGTCTGTTGTTCCTTTTTTTGCACTCTGCATCTGAGACTCTAGATTGCAATTTTTCATTCTTATTCATTTTCCTTTTGGTTCAATAAATAGCTCTTTCACGCTCCCAGAACTAACCTGGTTTAATTCAAGTAGCACATCGCAAACAGTAGTGCATCGTTTTGTATTCATATAATTTTAAATATTATAAAATTTGACGATGAGTATATTATACACATAAAATTAATTTAAAATACTTACAAATCTAAGTATTCAATATTCACCCAAAATAAATAAAGATAACTACATAAATTAAATTTGATTAAAATATAATATCTAAGCCATTTTACTGAAAAAAAGCATTATCTTTAAACAACCTGTAGAAATAGTAATATGCTTAAGTATGTATTAGGGATGTTTATGTATGCATGTATATATGAATATATTGTCTTCCGACGAATGATTTTTTATTATTTTGATTTGTTGCAAAAATCTTTGTGTTGTTTAATCTTTTTAGTACTTTTTAATTATAAAAAAAAAATAAAAAAACATGAAAAGTGTGAATAGAAGAATAAAAGAGACAAAAATAACTGTAAATAAGTTTGGACGCTTCGAATGATTTTAACATTCATAGTTTATTTCACCTATATACATACATACATGCATATACATATATAATTTCAAATATTTAAAATTTAACTTACCAATATTTCGATTCCTTTTTTTTCTTTTCCTTTTATGTATGTTTCACTTTTGTACCAAATTTTTTACATAAATATAAATCTTCATAAATGTATGTACATATGTATATATTTTTCAAAAAATTTAATAAAATTAATAAAATGTGTTTGTAAAGTAAATTTTAATTCTTTCAAAGTTATGTTTTAGCAACTTTGTTAATATTTTGTTCATATAAATTTCTAATATTTATGTTTTTCTTAAATTATACTTTTACTAGAATTATTTTAACTTTAATTTTTTTAATACATACATATATTTTTAAATTATTATTCACTGAAAAAAAAAAACACTTTACTAGCAAACACTCTTTATGCGAGACTAGAGACGAATAAAATTTAATCTGTACAAGACATAAAAATCAATGTGGTTTTGATAACTGTTTCTCTCATATACGTAAATAAACGATTTACTTTTTGCTCTCATGTGATCTTTCTCCCATATTTATAAGAAAAATCACCTAAGAACTTAGCCGGCTTAACAAAATATTTGGCAAAATTGATATAAACTTTTAATTTGGCTAAGTTTTTTGCAATTATAACCAGCGTTACCATTTTATGGCAAGTGGGATGAGCCCGTTTTTCTTGCTAAAGATCTATTTGACTGATTTTTCGTCTTGAAGAAAACATTAATTCTTCTTTTTTTAAAGTTTTTTATATATAATTTGATTATAAAAATTTTGCAAGACCTTAGAATTAAGTTGTAAGATTGTGTACAATGCTCTTAGTATTGGTAATTTAATATTACTATAAAACCCATTTCCATATTAGAATGTGTTTTTTTAGTTGTAAAATATCGAATATGCAGCAAAAGGTTTTTTAAATATTTTATTCCCAATTTTATATATTATTTACATATAAACAGAAAATTTTTCAGACCTCATACAACAAAATAAAAAACGCATGGTAATATAAAATTTGAATTAAATTTGCAATTAGAATAGCAATAAGTTTTTTAATTCGAAAATTAAGCACATTATTAATCTTGGCCCTTTTGTTTTACAATTTGACCTATTAATTGTTTCATGAATGGTAACCCTGGTTATAACCTATTCATAGACCATGTATTCAATACTTAAATAAATTAATAACTGCACTTTTCTCTCTTACATATGTATGTACGTATACATGTATAAAATCACCTAAAAACTTAGCTAATTTAACATAAAACTTGGCAAAATTGTTATAAATTTACCAGCTTATTTTTGGGAATTAGGTATGACATATTTACAAGCAGAGGCGATTCTACTATGTGTTCAAGAGTAGCACTTGCACTGATAACTAAAAATTCTGAAATATTTTTTTTCCTCTATTTATATCTATGTTAAGTATACGAAAAGTTCTAACATAAATAACATAAATTTTAAGTTGACTGTTTTCTATATTACAATAAATATCTATATAAGTCAGACAATTTATATAATAATATAAATTTGAAGTATTAAAATAAAGTTTTTTTGTTATATGTAATAATTAATATTTTTTCTTTGATTATACTGCCTTAATAGAAAAGTTATAGAATAGATTTGGAATGATTGAAAACCACCTACAAAATGTGCTGTACAGTTTTTAAAGCTGAATAAATGAAATTGACGAATTGTATATGTACATCTTTTAAAAAATGGAAAATTTTGATTATATTGGAAATTTTAAATGTAATCAAAATTCGTGAAAAATAAAAAAATGTCTTCCTCAAAATCAAACGAAAATATCAATATTTTTAACGGGGAAATATTAGAAAGTAAAAATAATTTAGTTTTTTAATTTACATCGTTCAGAAAGAAGTTTATAAGAAAGTTTTAAAAACGACATTGGTTATTTCCTTTTATTTTTTTATTGCAACCTATTTATCAAGTTTATGTTAAAAGACCACTTAATTATTATGCCGTCCCCTGCAGATTTCAGAAATGACTTAAACTTTGTGATTCCAAATTATAGGACAAAATTTTATTATGATAACACAAGCAAAAAATTTTTATTTGCTTTTTTTTTTCCTCTATTCTTAAAATGACCACGTGGTGACTAAACGTTTGCATTCCGAATTAACTGTATTTCTCTTTCTATAAGTAAAATCACCTAAAAACTTGGCTGATTTAACATAAAATTTGGAAATATTGTTATGAATTTATAATTCAGTGATGTTTTCTTATTTATAAGCAGGGACAGTTCCTGTATACTAACAAAATGATCACTTGCATTAAAAATGTAACAATTTAGGAAATAATTGTTTTCTCTATTTAAAAGTTCTCCTTTTCTGTCCGGAATAATTATAAAAATTCAGTTTTATTACAAAAGTTGTTAATCACATGTATAATTATTGATAAACTAAGAGTCAACTCATATTTTGTTTTTTATTACTACCTGAGTAGAAAATTTATAGAAAAAATTATTTTCGAAACAACTTACAAAGTTTGCTTAAGAAAAAAAAATTAGAAAAAGTTGTTTGAAAAATTTAATTTTTCAATTACAATATGAAATTGCAAAGCTGAATAAATCAAATTGTCAATTATTTACCAGGCGTATTTCGTATGGAAATAGATGATTTTGAACAAAACAACGCATAATTTGGCTTTTTAATTTGGATAATGCATGGTGAACACGCCAACAGATTTAGAAACATAATTTAACCATTTATTTATCAAGTTTATTTAAAAAAAAGAACACTTTAATAATTAAACAGCAGGTGAATTGCCTATTATGGAAATATCTTAAAATATTTGAATCCAAATTATAGGACAAAATTTTCAAAATTAATACATGTGCATAAAAAAAGCTAGAATGGGGTTGGTTTTTTAGCAAGAGCATATTTTATAGCATAAGTAAAAAATTTCTATTATTTTTTTTTTCTCTTTTTTCAATTTCTTAAAATGACACGTGATGATTCAATATTTGCATTTCGAATTAACTGTACTTCTGTTTCTATAAGTAAAACCACCTAACAACTAAGCTGATTTGACATAAAATTTAGCAAAATTATTATCAACTTATAATTCAACTTATATTTTTGGAATTATAGCTTGTTCATAGACAATATTAACTAAGCATTCAGGTGAGGTAATAGATATACCCTTCTTTTATATAATTTAGTATTTAAGAATTGTAACTTACTATTAAGAAATATTACTTAGGTACTTATGCGGTTTGATAATTATATTTCTCTTTCGTATGAGTAAAATCACCTAAAAACTTAGTTGGTTAAACGTAAAGCTGGCAAAAATTACCTTAGCGCCTAAGAATTTGTAACTAAATTTTTCTCTCTTTAATTTAAGTTAAATCACTTAAGAATTAAGTTGATTTAATATAAATCTTAACAAAATAATTATTAACTTGTATATCAGTTTAGTTTTTAGGAATTATAGCTCACTACTTTGGAATATTACCCAAGCACTTAGGTGAATTGATAACTACGTGCTTTTTTTTATATAAGTAAAATCACCTAAGAACTTAGCTGGATAAATGTAAAGCTTGCAAAAATTACCTTAGCGGTTAGTTGAATTTCTATGCACATTTTTCTTTCTTTAATTTAAGTAAGATCAGCTAAGAACTAAGCTGGTTTAATATAAAACTTAACAAATTTATTATTAGCTTGTATATAAGTTTAATTTTTAGGAATTATAGCTTAGTACTAAGCAATATTACCCAAGCACTTAGGTGAATTGATATCTGCGTATATAAGTAAAATTACCTAAGAACTAAGCTAATTTAGCATAAGTTTAGGAAATATATTTTGAACTTATAATTCAGCTTAGTTTTTAGGAATAATAACTTATTCCTAGGAAATATTGCCTAAGTAGCAACACCTAAGAATTTTTACCTTTGGTAAAATTGACTTACAGTCTAAGGTAATTTTATAAATAGATCATTACCTAATCTTATATTATAATACTACGTTAAATTACCTAAGAATAAGTTGAAACAGCTTAGAATATTTAACTTAGTTTCCTAAACATATTACCCAAGTTTTTTTGTTCAATCTGGCTTATTTTTTTACCTAATTAACACATGTAATATTCCTAATCTCTTGGCTGGTATACACTAGTTTCAAAATCTCCATACAAAAAAATTTACCAAAGTCGGTTTTGGTGATTTAACTTATGTTTTTTCGTTGGGTGATAGCTACTTCTCAGGTGGTAAAAAGTACGGGTACTTCTAGAAGAGCTAGAGACATGGGACAAAAGGCATTAGGTAGAGTTTTGCCTCTAGGGTCCCAGAAAAATCTGACATTGGAACTTTTTAGCCCCGAAATAGCTCTATTTTAAGATTTTTTGAAAAAATTTTTGTATAACAAAAGCACGTTTTTCTTTTATACTTTTTATAATTAGAAACACAAACCACGAAATAAATGATACGTTTTACGTT